CCCAAAAAACACCCCAAAAAACAAAAAAAAAATCCCAAAAAACACCGCAAAAAAAGCCCAAAAAAATCCTGAAAAAAACCCAAAAAAAAAAAAAAAAAATTCCCCAAAAAAAAAAACAAAAAACCCCAAAAAATCCTCAAAAAAAACCCCCAAAAATCCCCAAAAAAACCCAAAAACTTCGCAAAAAAACCCCAAAAAATACCCAGAAAAACCCCCAAAAAAACCCCAAAAACCCCCAAACCCCGAGAGGTGCTGGCGGCCGTGAGGGCGGAGAGGGCGAGGGTGGAGGCGGCCAGGAGGCGGGAGGAGGAGGAGGGGGGGTGAATCCCAAAAAAGGTCAAAAATTCATCGGTTATATCATTAAATCTAGTGTGGATTAATGAAGCAGTTGGATTTGGGTTAATGTTAAAAAAAACACCACAAAGAAACAAAATATCCCCAAAAAATTCCCCAAAAAATACCCAAAAGACATCCCCAAAAAATCCCCAAAAAAAACCCAAAAAAAATCCCCAAAAACACCCCAAAAAAATCCCAAAAAAAACCCCCCAAAAAATTCCCCAAAAAATCCCAAAAAAAACCCCAAAAAAATCCCTAAAAACCACCAAAATCCCCCAAAAATCCCCAAACCCCGAGAGGTGCTGGCGGCCGTGAGGGCGGAGAGGGCGAGGGTGGAGGCGGCCAGGAGGCGGGAGGAGGAGGAGGGGGGAGTGTTGAAATAGGTCAAAAATTCATCGGTTATATCATTAAATCTAGTGTGGATTCATGAAGGAGTTGGGTTTGGGTTAATGTTAAAAAAAACGCCACAAAGAAACAAAATATCCCCAAAAAATTCCCCAAAAAATACCCAGAAAAACCCCCAAAAAATCCCGGAAAACAACAAAAAAAAATTCCCAAAAAACACCCCAAAAAAATCCCCCAAAAAATTCCCAAAAGACATCCCAAAAAAAACCCAAAAAAATTCCCAAAAAAAACCCCAAAAAAATCCCCCAAAAACCCCCAAACCCCGGGGAGGTGCTGGCGGCCGTGAGGGCGGAGAGGGCCAGGGTGGAGGCGGCCAGGAGGCGGGAGGAGGAGGAGGGGGGGTGAATCCCCAAAAAGGTCAAAAATTCATCGGTTCTGTCATTAAATTCTAGCGTGGATTAATGAAGGAGTTGGATTTGGGTTAATGTTAAAAAAAACGCCACAAAAAACCCAAAAAAAACCCCAAAAAACCCCCAAAAAATTCCCAAAAAAATTCCCCCAAAAAATCCCCAAAAAACCCAAAAAAAATCGCAAAAAAACCCCAAAAAATACCCAGAAAAACCCCCAAAAAAACCCACCAAAAAAACCCCAAACCCCGAGAGGTGCTGGCGGCCGTGAGGGTGGAGAGGGCCAGGGTGGAGGCGGCCAGGAGGCGGGAGGAGGAGGAGGAGGGAGTGTTGAAATAGGTCAAAAATTCATCGGTTCTGTCATTAAATCTAGTGTGGATTCATGAAGGAGTTGGGTTTGGGTTAATGTTAAAAAAAAAGCCACAAAAATAACCAAAAAATCCCCAAAAAAATTCCCAAAAAACACCCCAAAAAACAAAAAAAAAATCCCAAAAAACACCGCAAAAAAATCCCGAAAAAAACCCCAAAAAATTCCCCAAAAAATCCCCAAAAAAATCCCCAAAAAACCCCAAAAAATCCTCAAAAAAAACCCCAAAAAATCCCCCAAAAAAACCAAAAAATTCGCAAAAAAACCCTAAAAAATACCCAGAAAAACCACCAAAAAAACCCAAAAAAACCCCCAAACCCC